AGAAAATACGGGAGAAAACTCAATTAATTTTTGCAATTTTAAACACATTCCTCTCTCTCCTCTTTCACGCTCAATTCTAAAGCGTGGCGTGGACCAGAAGGCCGAAAGGGTGTCCAAGGGTCCCCCCTCTTCGCAGGAGCTGTCCCTTTCTTCTGCAATCAATGGAGAAAGTTGCTGTAGAAACTCCAGAAACATTGGTTTTCTCATTTTTATTTTATTGTGTTTACTCCTCTCTCTCTCTCCCTCCTTTTTTTATTTTGTTTTTATTATCGAAACGAGAAATCACTTGTATTAGCTGAGGACTTGCATTATTGGTCAAATTATCTGAGGATAATGTTTTCCCTTCATTAGTCACAATCGAGTGGCCATGACGTACCCGTTAAATTCAATGCGTGCTTAGAAGAAAATATGGCACTAAGCGGTTTCTTTTTGACCGAAAACAAAAACCAAACTTTTTTGCGCACTGGACCATATTTTGAAAACACGTTTATGTTAAGCCAATTTCGTGCATTTTCATGAAGGTGGTTGTGTTGACGTGCTCGAGTAACGCTAGGTATACCGAGATCAATTTATAAAAAAATTATAGTATCGATGCGACGGACTGTAAGAATTTTTTTTTTTCATTCTTTATGTCTAGAGTGCAAGGGGTTCATAAGTGATTCGTGCAAAAAAAGAAAATAGTTCGTTGCATTAGAATTTAAATACCGTTTTTGTGAACCGCATCTTAACATATGTAACATTGCTCATTTGGCTTATAGACTTTCTAAGAGGAAAATATCGTGTTTGGGAAAATCCACACATGCTAACATGCAAGAATCAATAGAGCCCCATATATTAAACGACAAGTAGGGGTGATCGGTTTTAGGGTGGCTCGGTTCCTATCCTAAAACCTGGTACCGAACAGGGAAGGATAGGTTCCCAGTTAGTGGAATGGAGAATTGGCCCACTCGGTCCCATAACTGGTAATTTCTTCTTCTTCTTCTTTTGGTTTCTTCTATTCCCTATAAGTGGGAGTTTCCCAACATTAAAGGAAAAAAAATAATTTCCTAATTATGGTTTGTTCCAAAATAAAAAATAAATCTTGGCCGGTTTGGACCGATTATTTTGAGTAAGGGTGAACAGTTTCAAGTTCTGTACAGTAACTACTTGGAATCTGGAACCTACCCATTGGAACACATTCCTCATTTTTTGAAATCCGAAACTTACCATGCATATAGTGGAATCTGAAACCTACCCTGTCACAAATTTCAAGATTTACCTAAGTTTCACCTGTATAATTAATTAAATGATTTGACCACCACTTGCTAATACAATACATTGACCATAACTTATATTTAGACACACGAAAAATGTGAAACATTAACAAAGTAAAAGTCTCAGTCATAAAATGGAATCTCGGACTAACAATTCCAGATTATACACTCATTATCGGACACCATCGAATACAGTAGGATCATGCGAAAACATAAACCAAGAAAAACACAAAAACTTGTTACAAGTTCCAGGTTCCACCTATCTAGGGCCTAAAATCTACTCGTCGAAATATGTTCCCCAACTTTTGGAATGTAGAACTTACCTTGCATACCCTAAAATCTAGAATCTGACATGTTCCGATCGGTCTAGTTCTCTGATTTCAGTTTGTTACCCTAGAACCATGCTCACCCTTAATTTCGGGTACCGGGAACCACCCAGAACCAGCCAGTTCAATTTAGTTCCCAAGTTGGATCAGGACCGATGCACACCCCTAGCAGTAAATATATTGTGAACACACGATGCGTTATTTCACATCGGTTAATTAGTGAATTTTAATAAGAAAACTTATGGGTCATACATTATTAGAATCTAGTGCTTACACTACAATTCCACGTTCTTGATTTTTTTTTTTTGGATTCCCTCCTCAAATTCAATGTAAATGATAACTACCGCCAATAAAAAAAAAAACCTATAAACTAACTAAATTGCCTCGAGTCTTTAGAATACATTTTAGGTATTCTCATAAATCCATGACAGTCACACAACTCCTACCATATCTTGTTTAGATATCTTGCCATCATGCTTTTCATCTAATCCAATGTTAATTAATCGTGTTGACCTAATGTTTTTTTTAGAAGGAAAACACTCTCGGATTATATATTCTTTAGTCACCTCATTCAGGATGTCTGGTAACATCATGATTAACAACCAAACCTTGTCACTGAAACTCAATGTTCTTTTTTGTTTTTTGTCCTTTTTTTGTGGGAAAGAGTCAAAGAAGGGATGATATCAACTCTTTCGAACTTTTACGAAACCACTAAGGTCCAAGCACGAAGTTGCAAAAGCAATAGGGCGACTGGAAGAATGACATGGAGGCCGATCAGCAACTCCAAAAGTCGAATGATTAAGCTATGCCAAAGTCCTGGTGACTATGAATGCACTCGATACCCTAATGTCGTGTAGAGCAGTTGAAATCTAGAGACATGAGTGCATGAACGATGTCGACCTCATTAGATGAGGAAGATTAGCACCATGGTTTGACACTGCTGAAGGGGTTGGCGATGTGCGGCGTGAAGGGTCGGGAGGAAAGCTCGGGAATGGGAGATTGTCGAACCTCCTCGGGCATGGATCGGCGTTGATTTCCGACACGGTTTGACGTACTATCGTATCGTTTGATCCCGACCCTTTATTTGTCTTCTCGTTGGTGATAGACTACATAACTTGCGGAAAATGTTTGGTCACAAAGGACTTCAACCGATACTACGATATCTCATTCAGATCCCCATTGTTTTTCTCTCATAATAAATAGGGTTAATACCACGAAAAATCCCAAATTGGTACACTTGTGACAAATTTACCCCGAACTATTTTTTTGACCACAAAAAATCTCACATTAGTACACTTGTAATAATTTTACCTCGAACTAATTTTTTGACCACTAAAAACTTCAAACCGGTACACCTATGACAATTTTACCCAAAACTAATTTTCTGACCACTAAAAACTCCAAGCTGGTACATTTGTAACAAATTTACCCTCCGTTAGTGTTTTGGATTAATATCATGAAAAATCACAAATTAATAAACCTATGACAAACAGAGAGATAAAACCCCAAACTAGTACAGCCGTCAACTACCACATGTCATCAAATTTAGCAATTTAACGGAAACTAACGAAGGGTGAATTTTTCACAAGTGTACCAATTTGAAATTTTTGGTGATCAAAAAATTAGTTCGGGGTAAAATTGTCACATGTGTACCGATGTAGGGTTTTTGATGATCAAAAAAATAGTTCGGGATAAAATTGCCACACGTGTACCGGTTTAGGATTTTTTGTAGTTTAAAAAAATAATTTTAGATAAATTTATCACATGCGTATCAATTTGGGACTTTTCGTGATATTAACCCTAATAAATATAAGTTGACTGACTATAGATTTGCATTTTGCCAAACAAGAGTTTTCTTTTTGGGTGGCGGGCGAAAAACAGAGGAGAATTTAAGCAAAGAGATCATCAATTTCCCACCTACGTAGAACATCAATCATCAATCACAATCATCATTCAAGAAAACCCGTCCTCTCTCTCTCTCTCTCCCTCTAGCAACATGGCCTCGATCATTTAATAATATGATTATGTCTAAACAAAAGCAAGGCAAACTAATTTAAAAAAATAAACGAACAGGGCCCCTCAGGCTAATAAAAGAAGAGGTTAGTTTAATCATGTGAGGGGGGGTCCAATACCTACTGAGACGAATGTGGCTTCATTAGGTAGGCACACAAAAAACTAAGACACCGATTACATTGCATCTCAACTACCATCATACATCATCTTTTGTAATCTGTTAAAACTCAAAAATTCAAGAAAAAACAACCATTTAGACTCGTCACCAAATAGAAGAATTATATGAGCATCGGTGAAGCCCCTTTGGCTCATATGCATATCTAAGAGAATGTCACTCTTAAATAGCCGAGATCCACGACCGGCACAGCGTAAAACATTTACCCAAGCCATTGCTCTTCCCTGTATTTTCAGTTACCTGTGCTGTGACCGTCGTCCTCGCATGAAAACGATGGATCATTCGCATACAGAATTCGGACATTACCCTTCAACACATCAAAATGTATTCCGTACATGAACCTAAGAGGACTGCTAAGGAGCATTACCACGAAAAGGAGCCGTCTGACGTTAATCGATGGTGTGATGCAGTACAACGAGTTTTTTTTGCGAGAAAGTGATTCGCTTCACGTGCAATCTACACTACAGTCATAGCTAGTTCGTGGGAGCCAACATTAGAGCAGAGGCTACAATGCGACAGCTAAAAGTTTCGCATAACTCGAGAAGAAGCTAAGCTGTGGAGGAGAATTCTCTAATGAGGAAGACTTCTTGCAAGAGATATGACTCAGCTGGTTATGTCCTCTGCTGGTTGCACAAGGACTTGAAACCGTATCCAGCTCAAGAAGTCAGGATTTAGGGAAAGGCTATGCATGTTTCACAGCAAGACAGACATTGGAAACTTCGGATAAAAAATCAGAAAAACTATAACTGGAGCTGCGTATTGCAAATACAGAATTTGTGCTAAGCCCTGTAACAGTAAACTTGAATTTGAAGTGGAAAGTAGCAAACTAGGTTCTAAATAAATTGGAAATTGGAAGCAGTCACGGAGGCTAGTCAGAAGGATTTCGCAATTGAATGGAAAAGAAACTAGCAATTGTTTTGTTTTTGGATATGTATGCTTAGAAAAAAGCTTAAACAGCTTTTCAAGAACCAAGCTAAGGTAAACTCGCAAGCACTTAATTCTTCTAAACCCAAATAAAAGTAAGCTACACAAGGTATTTGAAGACTTTGCATGATATTTATATTGATCCCACACATAGCCTCTAATAATCAAGAGAACAAACTATAGAGTGATCTTTTCAACAAAATCTGCACAACCTAAGCAGCACCATGAAGCTTACTATGTTGATGACCTAAGATTGGCAAAGAGCGAACATTGAACAGAAGTTAATCGTGACTTTTTGGAATTTGGAGGTTCAAGGTCAATTTCTTTGTCAATATCTTACTTAACATCGTTGTCAAGTGTACAACAATCAGCTACATCCGCAAAACATGGAATAAGCATCATACACCATTTAACACCCATATCCAAAGTAAGACGCTAAAACAGTACAAAGTGATTCAGTCACCAAGTTGGCTGGTCTTTAATTGGAAATAGTAGACCCAAACCAGATAGATGATTAGCATACTACATCCATCAGCAATTAAGAAAAAGTAAAGATCAGCATCAAAAGGCAATAGGGTGTGTCACCTTCATGATGAAGGCCAATTTGCAGAACTTTGCTCATGAGATGCAAGCTCCTCAGCATCTCCAAGCAGACGCGGATACAAGCTCTTTCCGCTGCCAGCAGAGCACGAGAGAATGCTGTCTCTTCTCTATGTGGAAACCCCGAACGGGGGTCCGCTGCACGAGACACTCGGCTTGAGATTCGTTGAAATTGCTAAATGTCAATGGGGAGAACCCAGATGACAAAAACAGCGACCTCCAAAAAACAGTTCTCTCTGGTGTCCGGTGCCGACCCATTAGGATTTTCTCGATGCCAGGTTGAAGATAGTACTTCTCGATCTTTTGCAATAACTCCAAGTTCACATTCACAGCATCAAGGGATTCAAGCAAGCTTGAATAACAATCGAGGGTTTGGACTACCTGTTGCATAAATGGGAGATCGGTTCGGTCGCAACTTCTATCCAGTGACATCACAATTTTGGGGGAGAGTTGCTTCACAAATCGAAGTGCTAGCGGCAAAAATGACGGGTGAGCAGAAAAGGAGCCAATAGGAAGATTCACAGCAATCGCCTCGCCATCTGGCACATTGAGGGGCAGTGGCCAAGGTGTTGAACTTAAAGCCTCGATGTTTATGACTTCAAATTCTAAGGCAACATTAATTTCACTGGCAAAATGCTTAAGGTTTTCCTGGGTGAGGCCGAGCTCGAGCTCGTCATGGGTCGTGGGAGATGCAAAAGCAGTAATCTTGAGCGAGGGAGCGCCCCCATTCCGCAATGCGAGTTCTTGCATCAGAGAAGCCCATTGCCCGCCATAACCAATGTCGAAACTAATTATGTGGACTCTGTCAAATCCTTCCAATGCTTCAAGAAAGGCTTGGTTACACGTAAAGTTTGCAAATTGAAGGACAGGAGAGATCTCAGAGAACGACTTATAAGCACCGATCTTGTAAATGAGACTAAAAGGCAAGAAGGCCGGAGGATTAGTCGAATTAGCATGGAGGAGCAACTGCAGAGCCTCCTTGACATAAAAGGCAGCCCTATGAAAAGGCTTACCAATAGGAGAGAGCTGGTGATTGAGCCGCGCCAATATCCCTTGCGCGAGTACCGGGTGTCCAGTTTCGATCAGCTCCACGGCCTTATAAAGCTGTTCAAGTATCGCCTGCTGAAGCTGGTGGGTCGCGATGTCGTCGTTTACCATCTTCTGTTTCATCACAGCTGCCACTGGCCTCTGCTGAAATTGTTGAGGATGCAATTGAAGCTGCTGATGCTGCTGTCGCCGGGCGAACAAGTCCTGCCCGGAATCCAACAAGCCGGTTCCAGGGCCGGAATAATTCAGCTCAATGGAGCCGGGGTTTAGCCTCTTCAGGGGTGGCAGCAACAACAGGTGATGATCCTGCATCTGAGCATGTCCTGATGGCAGGAAAAAAGAAGGATTTGGGGAGAACTGTGCCTGGTTCTGGTTAATAATCGCTTGCGGGTTGAAAATCATGGGCTTTTCATCAAGAGATTCATTGTGATGTTGCTGAAAAACACCAGGAGGGAAAGCAGGCACAATAGCATTGTTAGCTGAAGAATTGAAAAAGGGGATTGGGTTTGAGACTGAAGGGACCCTTACATTGTTGCCATGTAGATTTTGGGCACTGAGAGCGAAATCAGGGCCTGAGTCATGCAGAGAAGTCTCGATGTTCAAATTGGTGCTGGTCACAGGCTCAAAGCTGAAACCTGGATCCAGCACCCCAAATCCTGCACTGAATTCCAGTTCTTGAGACCCACCAGTGCTCTGCAAGAGCTTGCTCAGTCCCATAGATGGGTCCTCAATGTCGCCCATTATCATCCTCAGAATTGACTGCTCTTGACTGTTCTCAGGCAAAACACCTTCCCAGTCCTCCACTCCCATCCCACATTTTGCTAGAGCACCTTGAGGCGTGTTGTAGCCCGAAGCCGCCGCCGCCGCGCCGGTGGTGTCGGTCGAGGCACCACCTCCTCCGCCGCTGTTGAGAGAGGAAGACAGTGTAGAGGACGGTTGAGGGCTTGGGCTTCTTTTGATTTCAAGAAATAAGGATTTCTCACTGCCCACATAGAAATTTCCCAATTTGCTTCTTGGGGTTTCCGTGTTCAACCACTTCTGGTGCTGTTCTTGGTGGTGGTGGTGGTGGTGGGGGCGGTGGTCCTTTTGGGATGAATCTGAAGAAGCAGAGAAATCTAGCACCACCCCTTTCCTTTGAAGCTCCTCAGAGGGTAAGGGCGTGGCCTTCATCTAAAGAAAGAGACACTCGCACACCAAACAAACAACAAAAAAGAAATGCTATCTTCGAAACCCCCCCGAAACACAACCACAGAGCTCCACCGATTCAGACCAAACCCAGAAACGTCCAAAGCTCTCGAGAAAAAAACGAAGAGAACGACTCAAAACACGGAACAAGAACCCACCCACAAAAAAAACACAGAGACGGGAATCAGATTGCCAAGCACCCAGCTCCGGCGTCCCCGAACCAAACGGAACCCGTCGAATGCATGCAGATCCAGAACCCACCCCCGCTGCACGACCCCAGCTCGCTCTTGTTCTTCTTCTTCACTTGCTCCCTCTCCCCCACCATGAGCCCACACGCCGTCATATCTCCAAACACCACCCCTCCCCCTCCCCCACCCCACAAAAACAGAGTCTTCCCCCCCCCTCCCTTTGCTTCCCCTCGAGCTCCTCTTTCTTGCTGTGGTGTGAAGGTCGAGACTTTGGAGATGAGTTCCCCCCCACTTCCCCTTCCTTCCTTTCTTATCTTTCTTTTCTTTTCTTTTTTTTTCTTTCCTCTGCTCCCGTTTTTTGCCCCCCTTGATGTTCTTTCTCTTCTCCTCTGGCCTTTGTAGTACTCTGCCTTCTGTTTTCTGCTATGGATGCGTGCAACATATAAAAGTGGTAAAGTGCCCCATCAACAATCCCCCCCTCTCCCTCTCTCTCTCTCTCTACTCTCTCTCTCTCTCTCTCTAGCATGTCTTTTTTTCTCTTCTTCTTTTTTTTTCCCCCATTTCGGACATTAACGGGCTAATATATGTTAATGAGTATTTTATGTGGCTTTTGTCTGTAGACGTACGCTTAGCCACTCATTGTGCCAATGCCCTCCCTCCCTCGTCGCAGCCCACACACATAAATTTCCCATTTTGATTGCCACCCTCGATTCCTTTCGCCTCCTCCTGTTAGAAAAACCATTCCTTTTCAACAGAGAGAGAGAGAGAGAGACCAACGACGTCCGAGGGGGAAAAGGCGAACCGAGCTTCTTCAGAGACGCTCGGTTCTTTCCATCCCCCACCCCGCCACCCCCCCCCCCCCCCCCCCACAACTTTTTTTTCTCTAAGTTTCTTCCCAAACCCGCCGGCGCTCCCCCGGAATGCCACCGCGCCTCCGCCGCACGCCCGCGGCGGCGAACCGCCCGGGGGGCGGGGCAGGGCGGTCATTTCGCCCCGGGGGAGCAGCTCTGCCCCCGGGTCGGAACGGGGGGGGCCGGGTTTCCGAGACTGAATCTGACGACACGAGATATACAGAAGAGGCTCTGTTTTTTTTTTTTTTTCTGGGGGGTTCGAGAGGGTCGAGGCGGGGGGGATCGGACGGCGGAGATGCGCCGCTGCGGATTTGGGAGGGGACGGCACGTGCGGCTGCGATGGAGGGGGAGGGGTTAAGGGTGATTAGAATCGGGGGCGGGTGATTAAGGCTCGATTAGGGGTTGATTAGCGGGGTTAATTAAGGGAGGAGGCAGGGGAGAGTGCGTGTGATTTGTGTATGGGTGGGCCCCCCCCCGCCCCTTTGGTGAACTGTCACTTTCTTTTGGTTTTGCTCGTAGAAAGTGAAAAAAAAAATAAAGGAGAAGGAACAGAAAGGCCAAAAAAAAAAAAAAAATTTTGCAGGTGAAAGCACACTGATTGACGGCCGGTGACTTTCTTTTACTTTTTACTTAGACCTTGTAAAAGGAAGGGAGGGAGGGAGGGAGTGAAAAAAATTCATCTCCTTTAAATCCATTCATTTCCCCAAAAATGATGAATTTGTAATACCGGCATGCATCGCTTGAACAAACGATCGACCTGGAAAATATATTTCATTGCTCGGGAAAGTATTTAGATAGGAACTGTCGTCGATAACGAAACATCTGGGTGATTATTTTTCTCCGTTGTTGCTTCATCTGTAACTCTTGTATCTTCATTTCGTTAGGTTTGACGATTTGATTGTTTAAGCTGATCCCAATTCTAAATGTCAACTTTGTACTATATATCCCTTTAATGTACTAATGCGTTGATGTTAAGATGAATTCACACCAAATTTTCTGTACATCATCTTCTTATCATAAATTTATCGTACGATTGGCGTAAAGCGCGTGTTTAGTGTTCAATCAAGAGATAAATGGACCGTAACAATAAGGCCGTCCAAAAATTTTACCATAATTTGAAATACCGGCATGCATCGCTTGAAAAAACGATCGAACGGGAAATATATTTCATCGTTCGGGAAAGTATTTAGATAGGAACCGTTGTCGATGATGAAACATCCGAGTGATCATTTTTCTTCGTTGTTGCTTCATTTGTAACTCTTGTATCTTTATTTTGTCAGGTTTGGCGATTTAATTGTTTAAGGTGATCCCAATTCTAAATGTCAACTTTGTACTATAATCCCTTTAATGTACTAATGTGTTGATATTAAGATGAATTCATACCAAATTTGTTGTACATCATCTTCTTATCATAAATTTATCGTATGATCGGCGCAAAGCGTGTGTTTAGCATTCAATTTAGAGATAAATGGACCATAACAATAAGGCCATCCAAAAATTTTATCATAATTTGGTAAGACATAGAGAAAATTTATTAGGAGAATGGCCAGAACTGTGTAATTCTTCCGGTTCGGTGGCTTGGCTTGCTTTTAACAAAAATTATCTTTTTTTTACGACGTTATATTTGGCGTTCTAGAAAAATTCAAAGCTAAAAAATTGCATTATAAAAAAAAACTAATATGAAATTACTCAATAACCATGGCGTTTCCGACAAGTTCTTCCTATCCCTTGCCTTCATTTTCATCTGCATGATTATCAATTAACTGTTTTTTTTTTTGGTCGAAAAATTAAAGGAATTAACTAACACCAAATAAATAATATACCGCCATAATTATACATCCACGATCATGAAAAACAAACATTGTACAACCACCTCAAGTCCAATTCCTCTTATAAATTCTAACCATCATGTCGCCATGTAAGAAAATAAATTCAAAGTTACTTTGCAACCTCAAAATTCAATCAAGAGGGTTCCAATAAAATCGGGGTCGATATGATACTTTAAGATCTGTAAAATATTAAAATTTAAAATAAACAAACTTATTAAGTTCAATATATAGTTGGCTTGACATCAAACAAAGGAAGTAGTATAACATGTAATAAAAATAACGTTCATATCTTCCCTAAAGCCAAATTAAAGTGATGGAACAGTCTTACTTTCAATTCTTACATACTTGGGAGTTCTACTAAATGAAATAATGCATTCTTACATTTTTAAGGACCTTACCGAACTAGATTGTTAGAGTAATTAAATATTAAACCACACATTCATTTTAAAGCTTAACCTTTTAGAACAGTTGGTAGTGACTCTACAAAATCTCACATGGTATCAGAGCTGGAGGTTTTGCATTCAAATTTTTCCGGGCTCTAATTGCCTACTCAATTAAATATGTCAACGCCTAGTGCTAGACAAAAATGGTCCCACAAAATCTTTCATGTATAATGCGATATCAGTAAATGAATTTCGATTTACACCCTTTAAAAAATTTCAAGAAAGCATAAAACAAATTTAGGAACTCAAATCCAAAATATTGAATATTAGTGATAAACTCATGCCTACATCACGAGAAGAATGGTACCACACATACAATTACTTCAACCAAACTTTTTCTAAGATTAGAAGTTACTTGTCAAAAAAGAAAAAAAAAAGGTTAAAAGTTATACTATAACAATCTTTTGATAGACATTTGTAATGGAGAAAATAATAAATATAAAGCATATTAATATTGTTTTTGTTTTCATCTGAAAAATATTTTATATCTTGCGACATTCTATCATTGTCTTTCTTATTGGTGTGGATATACAATAAGAACATACTTTTTCTTTGACTTTTCGAATGGAAGTTTCCTAATAATTGAGCAGTAGTTTACATAAGGTAGATAATAATTGAAAAAATCAAGGCCTTTTTATCTAATTGGAAGTATAAAGATGAGACTTAAAGGGAGTTAAATTAATGTAGGATCAATATATATATGTACACACAAACGATTTTGATACCAATGTAATAACCTTGGAACACACTTTGTCAAATTCACTATAAGAATTAACAAAACATGCACATCGGATAAAGTTTAATTATGTGCAGAATATATACAGTACATATTTATTCAAACATTAACGTGAATTTAAGTGCGCGCGTTAATTGTGTGTTGGATCCAACTTATATTCTCATATTGTGCACTATAGCATGTTGTGTCTATCGCATCGGTCATTGTTTGTCGATTACATAAAAATTTTATTTTAGGCAGTCGCGTAAAAATGAGAAAACTTTCGATATAAGTCCAAGATCATCTGCAAATTGATAATCAAGTTTTGTCACTCTATATATCTATATCACATTGACTTTATGTTTCTAAATCTCAAGAAAGCACATGACAAATTTAGGAACTCAAATTAGAAATTTCTTTTTGAATAGTAGCGACAAGCTCATGACTACATCACGCTGAGAAAGGTACCACATACAATTACTTCAACCAAACTTTTTCTAAGATTAGAAGTTACTTGTCAAAAAAGAAAAAAAAAAGGTTAAAAGTTATACTATAACAATCTTTTGATAAACATTTGTAATGGAGAAAATAATAAATATAAAGCATATTAATATTGTTTTTGTTTTTGTCTGACAAATATTTTATATCTTGTGACAATCTATCATTAAAATGTTTTTCTTATCGGTATTAGCGAGATGAGGGGATATACATTGAGAACAGACTTTTTCTTTAACTTTTCGAACGAAAGTTTTCTAATAATCGAGCAATTGTTTACATATCATTTGAAGGTAGATAACAACTGAAAAAATCAAAGCCTTTTTTTATATCTAATTGGGAGTACGTAGATGACTTAAAAGGGGTTAAATTAACATAGGATCAATATATATATATATATATATATATATATATATATATCTATATATACTATTTTGATACCAATGCAATTACCCTGGAACACACTTTGTCAATTTCACGTTAAGAATTAACAAAACATGCACATCGGATAAAGTTTAATCATTTGCGGAATTATATACAATGCATATTTATACAAACATTAACGTGAGTTCAAGTGCGTTAATTGTGTGTTGAGATCAATTTATATCGTGCACTATAGCGCGCTGTATCCATCACGCCTGTCATCGTTTGTCGATTACATAAAATTTTTAATTTAGGCAGTTGCGTAAAAACGAGAAAGCTTTCAATATAAGTCCAAGATCATCTGCTAATTGATAATCATGTTTCGTCACTCTATATATCAATATCACATCGACTTTATGTTTCTAAAGTATTTGCTCGAATGGCGAAAATCTCATTTCAAGTAGATATTCTAATCAT